CCAATATTAAATTATTAAAATCATAACGAAGTAGTATGTTCTTCTTTCGTCAATTTTGTTGCGATGTTTTCCAACATCTTGTTCATTTCTAGTAACTGTACTCTTAGCAATTTTATAGCATCTTCATTCACTTTCATCATAGCAATCAGTTTCTCAAATGTCATTTCTGGAGCGACATCGGAGAACTCATTGTGTCGTTGTTTCAACCAAACAGCACGATCACTCAAATTGATGTCATTTATAAACGAGGGAATATTCTTCTGTGCTATCTCATAAGCGGCTTTCATTATATCCTTAGGCAATCTTTTCTCAAGAGGATTAAGCGGTTTTACCACAAGAACTTGTTTCCTGTTTTCAACGTCAATATTGTGATCCGACATCCATTTCCGGAAGGCATATGGGATTGCAGTGTTGTGCAATACCATTTCCGTAAAGAGGATCATTTTCGTCTGCCTTACTAGCTTCGTAAGCCCCGCATGATTTCTCAGACCTTGTATATCATGTACGGCGATACCGACCAGCAAGTTCATCAGAATCACAGTAACGAATACTATGAAGAGTGTAAAGAGAATCTGCGAACAAACTGATAAAATAGGATGATAAATGACAAAAGAGCCGCCCGGTTTATCATCCATCTGATTGATGAATCCTTCGAAGTCTAATTCACCGACCATCATAGCCAAGACTTTGATCAACCCAGTGAAAGGATTGCCGAACGCGGGTTCGCTGGCGAATATTACACAGAAGCTGATAGTGAAACCAATCAGCAGGCCCGAATATGCTAACAAAAGTTTGGCGAACTCGAACTGGATGTGCGTAAACATAGCAACGTAGGTACCGAAGGCTGGTAACTGACCCACCATCAGCATTAGATTGGTCCAGGCGCAAAGAACGGCAAACGCGCCGATATAATTCTGCCAGTCATAAGTACGCCCAGTATATACGAAGGATGTAACGAATACACTCACAATTACCACACCGTCCAACACGTTGTCAATGCTGGAAAAATACTGTAATGCCGATTTGTAAACCATGAAGCCATATATTTTTCTTGGTATAGTGATGCATGTCAGAACCAGCGCGAGGTACCATTCAATCTCGATGATTGATTTTCGAAAGAAAAAGTCAGATGGTCGTCTGCTGCCGCATATCTTGGAGCTATTGGCTTCGTTTTGATTGTAACATTTATACGCTAACGCAGTCAGTACGTAAGTAGTCAAGCATATCACTGTCATAGAATACAAAAGTATTCTCAGCAAATAGAGCTTGCGAATTTTCTCCCACTTGAGGTGTAGGAAGGCCATAACTAGAGGATGTGACAACAAGTCTTTTCGATGCTCTTGTACAAAAGTATTTATGAAGCTGGTTTCGCATTGATTACCGCTGGGGAAGAGAATGTCGAAGTGCAGTCTCATTTCAAACTCACGATTATGTGATACCGGTCGAGTCAGTCTAATGGAAGCGTCCAACCGCTGTCGGAACACGTGCAGAGACTCAGGAATTTTCTTCAATATAATATTCAGAGCGGATAATCCAGTGCACGTGGTCGCGCTAATGTCAGCGCCCGCCCAGATGAGCACATCCACACATTGAGATTGTTCGTTCAGTGCAGCAATGTGAAGAGGCGTGAATCCTGTCCGATCAGCTGCATTTATCAAAGCGCCGCATTTCAGCAATAATTGTACTAACTCAACGGACGAGTCTGTGCTCATCACGGCGAAATGTAGGGGTGTCCTGTGCTCCCTATCCACAGCATTCACATTGGGCGCGCTGGCTGAAAGTAGCTCGACGCATGGTATCGATTGCACGAAACAGGCCACGTGCAACGGCGTCTGGCCCAAGTGATTCTTCTCGACAACACTGGCACCACGCTCGAGCAGCAGCTTCACCGTCTCCACCGCCCTCGCACGGATGGCACTATGCAGAATTGGCTCGACTACTTCCTGACAGACATAATTGAGCTTGGCGTCATGATCCAGTAATGTAGCTGCGGCGTGCCAGCTATTACCGAGCGCTGCGAAATGAAGAGGTGTGTAATGAATGATGGGACTCTCGTAATTCACGTTGGCACCCTTTGCGATTAGATACTCCACGCAGGTGACTTTGTCACCCAATGAAGCTGCGAGGATAGCGCTCACACCGGTCCGCGGTTCGACGTAATCATAACGCGCTCCGGCGTCCTCCAATTCCGGCAGAAGATGAAGTAGACCACGATAGGACGCCCAAATGTAAGCAACGTTTCGTAGATTCTCGCTTTTGCACGCGTTCGGAAGTGTGCGACTCTTCTCCATGTACTGTAATAATCTCGTCTCCATCGTGTCGACGATAGACCATATAGCCGATCTCAATTTGGCACCATTCACGTAATGATTCTTGTAGCATTCCAGAATTTCCAGATTGTCAAAAAAAAGAGAGTCATCGGCTGGTGGTGGTACACCGGCGTCGATCTCGATTTGATCATTATCAAATATGGTTGCATCATCGATCACAATTTTTTGCGGATAATCCTCTGCATATGCACATCTCAATGATCTATAAGTGGGAGCTAATCTTACAGACAGAGGATCGCTTTTGTGATGACTGTTGAAGCTTTTAGAATAAAAATGTTCCTCATCATTCAAAATAGTCGGTGTTTCCAGACTGTTCGTCTCGAAATTTTTTACTTTGATACTCTCTCCTAACGAATTTCGATCATTCTCATACATACTCGCTTGAATTATTTACTATTTATTTATGGCTGGAAATAAATTTACTATTCAGTTTCACTTTTATTCTTATTTCTTTTAGTGAAAAATTCAAGTGTCTTCACGTAGTCTTATTTTTCTTGAATTATTTTCGATTTAAATAATTTTATCATTGCTATTTTTTTCTGTGATCTCAAGTTTTTTACATTCTTGCGCACGAGAATTCGTATTACAGATTGATTATAATAAACAGATGATAAATATGTATGTATAGACAATAAATTACACCTAAGACTAATGTATCTCCTGATCTTGTCACTTTTTTCTATTTTTTTTTGGCTAATAGATATGTTATGTTGTACAATGTTTAATTTTCCAATGTAAATCCCATTTCGTAATTAAGCACTTTCATATATCATTATGTGATGTTTCGCGATGCATCCTAATTACTTCAGCCGCGTCATCGTCTCTTCAATCCTATCTTTTTCTCTCTTGTTCTCTCTTTTTCAGTTATCACATTCCGCCTACAAATCGTTTCATTTAGACCTTTAAGAGAAGATTATCGTTATGCCACGTTGTGTCCCGGACGCAATCGAGTACCTTAGCCAATCCGAGTTGCTCTGATTTAATCATTAATTTAATAACTTGCATTCGGACAACTTATGATTAATATCTTCTTAAACAGAATACATTTGATAGACGCAAATACAGACAATAGAGATAAGTAAAGGTTGTTCTTTTCTAAGGCTCTTCCCACTGGATATTACATTCGTTAAATTTCTCTCGTATTAGAAAAATATTGTATTGCAAAATATGCAGTGCATACTATATCTTCAAGTTTGTCAATATACTATACATTTACAAGTGATTATCACATATACATTAGCAATCTTATCTTTTTTTCAATTTGCGCCGTTAATAGTATTGTTCCTCTTGTACTAGTATTTCTTCTGTTCTTCAAGTGCAATTCTGAAGACTCAATATTAATTTTTCTATCAACTTGACGAATGCAAGTTATCAAATATCCAAGTGGGTCTGTCGCTGTGTAAGAACTTCAAGTAATACAGATAGTACGATGAGTTAACATTTTTCACTGTCACCACACACTATTCTCTTCCTCTTGCTATCGGCTTCGTATGACGTACCGTCACTTCATCTTTTCGTTTAATGCTTCTATTTTTTGAAGCACGTATTTATAAAAATCTAGAGATTGACTGAAGAAACCTCGAGTTTTCGACTCTAGAATGCAAAAGCAGTCCGAGAAGGATTTCGGTCG